CCGTTAGATAGCTTGTTTGTAGACCCTTCTACTGATAGAGACGTCAATGACATGGACTTAGCAGTACGGCTTCAGTTGTAGTTTAAAAAATTGCATTTTTTCGAATTTCAGGCAGCAGCCACGCCCACACAGGCATACGAATCAAAATATCCTGGAACAAAACCTTCTTGGTTTTTTGTGTACTTTAATTCCTGAAAGTTCAAAAAGAATTAAATGATGGTACGTACAGACGTCGCATACATACCAAAGCATCTCGTAGTGGAGACACGAACCAAAACACCTCTATATCTTTCCAACTAGTGGCCGGAACTTAATATATAAGGTATCGTTTGAAAGGTATTGGCCCATATGCCCCCATAAACCGGCAAAAGCAAAAAAACGTTTTTTGTTTCGCAACACTTTCGCCAAATTTTTAAGAATCCGGTTAATTGTTTATGAAGCTTGAATATATTTTCTGGACACACTCTGCAAGACCTTTCCAACGATATATCAAACATGTTGATTGGAGGTCTGGATAAAAACTTCCAAATCCCGTGTATATATAAGCGAGTCATTTCAGCATGCTACTGTTGCTGCTTTCGTCACTCGCGCGCACTTACGTGCGCTGTGATATTGCAATATGGCTGTCAAAAGAAAGAGGCTTACAAAGGCTTAAAGCTGATAATATTTTTGTGGGAGGTAGTCACCTGTTTGGAAACTTTTATTTAATTTAATTGATAACATAACTTAAATATTGCAGTATTGGCATCAAACTAAAGAGGGTAGGAAATTTTACGCCCGAAAATATTTATATATTGCCACCTGTTTGAAAAATTTTATTTATTTAAATTGGTAATATAAATAAAATATTACAATACTGATATTATTTTAAAAAGTTTTAGAAAGCTTACTTTCGAAAATATTTTTGAAGCGGGTCGCCTGTTTGAACATTTTAATTCAGTTAAATTGCTAAGAAAAGCTAAATGTTGATATATGGATATCAAGCGAAAGTATTTGAGAATAATAAAATTGTAACAGGCCGATATCTGTACATAATAGATATTAAAGAAAAATTAATAGGGGGTTTGTTAGATCAACAGAAGGCAAATCAACAATTTGTAGAATTTTGGTCTGTCTGCCTGTATGTATGTCAGCGCGTCACGCAAAAACTAATGTATGGAATTAAATGCATTTTTAACCGATGTGCATATTGCTAGGTGTCTAACCGAAAATATAGAATCCCTTTTTCAGTCTATCATTGATAATTTTTCCTAGGTATTTGAATGTATTAACTTTCTCCAGTATTTCGTTGTTTATATTTAGAGTTAGCACCGCACTGTTTTCACAATTTCGCATTGATATAAACTTAGTTTTATTGATATTAAATTTAAGTGTGTTCAATCATAACCAATCGTACTTTTTTGGAAATTCTGTGTGGAAGGTATTTCGCTAAAAACAAAAACTTTAAACTTTTTGTTGCTGCTCCCAAAAAATTAAGAAATCTGAGACGTCAAGGTTTTACAATTTCATATAGTTTTCTGAACATTGTATTTCACTAAACTACTAAATGGCTGCACCGATTTGGTTCATATTTGGAACATATGCCAGCACCTTGAAAATAAATATTCTGACCAAAACTTTACTCGGTTAGGTGGCGCTGGGGTCGAGATATGCCTAAAATTCTTATACAGACTAAAACGTAAAACGCCAATATATCTAAAACCTATTACGATGGGGAACTGAAACTTAGCACGGATGCACCTCCTATACAAACTGAACAGAGCTTATCTCTGGAACCGCTAACGCTAACACAGCTTCATACATTTCAACAGGGCCGAAGAAAATAAGTAAAAATAAATCCATTTTCAGCGCTTAGATTAGCACTAAAGCATTAGTAAATAAGCGAATATGCTCGGAAAACAAAAAACAATTAAATTTATGAACGGTTTAATGTTTTGTTTCTTATTCAGTTTTTTCGAGGATTGAAAAATTATAATGACCAATCAAGTGTTGATTTATGTTGTGAAATAATGGAGATTTTTGCTGATCGTTTAAATTTTTTTCAATATTCGTTAAGTATTCTCCATTCTTCAATAACACCAATGCCATCCCGTAGAGACAAACCTCTGGCTTTAAATTTTTGAACCCAAGCAGAAATGCAATTGAAGTTACGGGACTAATAAAAACCAAATCTGTTTTTATGTTATTACTAGCAGACCCGGCGAACTTCGTACCGCCAAAAATTAATTTTATCTTTTGATTGAAATATTTTGGTCCAACATTTTCACCAACAGTTCACGTTAATGATTTTCAGTGACGCATTTATCTTGTAATATTACGGTTTAGTGGTTGTCAGAAGGTATATTTCCCGTGCCGTCTTAAATAATCTAGCAAAAGTGTATGTTCGTGAGGAAGGTCTTGAAATTCTCCAATGATCTAGCGTTTCACAGCGTGGTTAACTGCACAACGAAATACATTTGAAGAATATTTTCCTCTTCACTCCCTGGCGGCAAAAATTATCCGTTTCGATAGTGAATCTGTACTTGAAACTGCGTAGTATAGTTGGTGGGTGAGTATCGTTGTTCTACAGAAAGTCTATATACATAGACTTATTTCTGAAGAAATAACTTAGATGTCTTATTAAGGATCGCAAGGGTTCTGATGGTTGACTTAACGGTGGTCATTTGAGGTTGACCCCTGGCCAACTCAGTCCTGTTGTCTACAAATGAAGCTTTAACCCACAGTAATATTGGCAATTCACGTCCATTGGACCAATCGGGCGTTCGACATACTCGACACTTGATGATTTTTAGCAATAACTCGACTCCAGCACAGTACATATCTCGAATATGAGAACTCAAACGACTAAGGAACTTGAAGAATAAGTTTTATAAAAAGCAAAAGCATTCTGTTAATTTTCGTGAGCGGTATGTATCTTACAGAGGTAAATTCAACAAACTGAACAAGTCTTTGCATCGAAATTATATTCGTAATATAGAAAGCAATATTAAATGTAACCCGAAGGCCTTTTGGAGTTACATAAAAGCTAAGAAAACTGCTCAAATATACCTGCGTCGGTTCATCTTAAAGGGGTTTCAGCTACTTCCATCTCTTATGGTGCTAATCTGTTAGCCAAATTTTTTCTTCGAATTTTATTTCAGACAATTCTGATCATGGCTTTGTCCCTGAAGATCTCCTGTTTAATTCAAATACTTCCATCAACTTCGGGAAACTAGATTTGACTGTCGAAGATGTCATTGATGGCATTAATCAGCTTAAGCCATCCACTAATACAGATGTTGATGGCTTATCGGTCGTTCTAATTAAAAGTTGTCCTGCCTTGATTAAGCCACATGGCACATTTTCAACATGTCATTTGCTGCTGGAGTCTTTCTTGGTGACTGGAAATTGACTATTATTACGCCTATCCTTAAAAGCGGCAATAGAAATGATATTGAGAATTATAGGCCAATTTCCAAGCTAACCACAGTTTCTAAACTGTTTGAGTGCATAGTTAAGGACAAAATATACTTTGCCGTCAAACATATGATATGTCCTATTCAACATGGCTTTGTTCCGGGCAGATC